GTCGCCGCACTGTGAGGAGACCGATATCAAGCACGTGCAGGCCCAGCTCGGCGTGGCATGCCCGGATGCTGCCCTCATCTTTGTTCTTGTCGGTCGTGATAACGACGCTGTCCCAATAGAAGAACCTATTACTGCTAATTAGTCCGCGGGCATCCATCGTGATGCCGCTCGGGTCGGTTTCCAGTTTACTGACCCGGCCCTGGAGGTCGATGATCTCCACGTGGGAGAGCTGTTGCTCATTTTTCAGATCGAGCACCTGGTCTCCGAGCTTCCTGACATTCCAGGTTAGACCAACTGACGGCACTGCAGGAGTTCATGGGCTTGCCGGGTGACGCGGACCCTCAGGGCTATGTAGACGTGCCCCGACGTAGGAGTGAAGACCTCGTCTGCAATTTTGCTGGGCACCAGTTGGGTGCCCTGTGCCGATCACAGGAGCTGCTGGTATTAAATGGCTGTGTTTCTGGGGATTTAGAGGGTCGTCTGACCTTCCCCAAGGGTGAAGCAGGTGGGAGCATGATCGATCTTTTTGTAGGTTCGGCCGGTGTTCTCCGTCATGCCTATTGGATGCGGGTGGGCGAGCTGCTCGCGCCAGATGGTTGGTTCCCGACTGACCACCGTCCAGTGACGCTAGTGCTTGGTCTAGCTGTAGGAGGAACTGGGATGAGTGCCAAAGGGTGCTGCCAAAAGAAGCGAGCAGTGTTTGAGATTTCCCGTTATCGTGACTATGCTGCTCTGTCCACTGATGGATCCCAGGTCATGCACGCACTAAATGGGGTGATCACGGACCTATCGAATGGGGCCTGCAACAGCATGGAGTCGGTGGAGCGCATTAGTACCCTCCTGCGGAAGGTGTTGATTCGAGTATTTGCGGGTCGCAGGCCTGAGGGTATGCAAGCAGGGGGTGGTGCATTATGGTGGAATGAGGAATGCCAAAGCGCCCGGCAACACATGCTTGCTTGCAGGGTGCGGCTCGGCCTTGGCAGGGTCGAGAATAAGTCAGGCCCTTTGTGTGAAGCGTTCTGCAAGGCACGTAACGCAATGAATCGTGCCAAACGTCGTGCCCGAGCAGCATATGATGCAGAGAGAATGCGTGAGTTCGTGGTTAGGTGCAGGCACGATCAGCGCGCACTATGGCGGGCCTTGGGAGGGCAATTCAAGGAGCGTTGTGCAATTGACGATTTGCATGTATTTCGGGATAATTTTGCCACCTTGTTAAACGCAGGAGTTGGGGAAACGGGTGTTGAAGGTGCACATCGACTCCTTGACTATATCTCCTTTTTTGAGGCATGCCTAAAGGACAGAGCAGTGCAGCTTCAGATATCTTTCATGCGACAAATTGTAGGAGCTGCCAGACCAACACACCGCCTCCTGTTTGCAGAGCTGTCGCAGCTACCCCTACACTACCACGTTCTCAAGCAGGTTGTGAGGTTTTGGAACCATGTCCGTTTACAGCGTGGGTCTGTGGCACACCAAGTTTTACGACAGGAGGTCGCAGAGTCCCTCTCCAACCCCGAAGGGGCCGGATGGGGAACACTACTCCTCCGTTTTCTATGTTTTTTGGGGCACGACGTATGGAAAGAGGCCCCGCAAGGGCTACACGAGGTAGACGAACGAGTGGAGTGGCTGATGAACAGGCCAATGCCAGAAGGTGTGGTTTTGGAGTTCAAGGACCGATTAGCGAGTGGTTGGAAGCATACGCGTTTAGATGTCCAGCCTGATGTGTACCCGTCAGACGGCAAGCAGCCAGGAATTCACATGGCGAAGTATAAGCATTGGATGTGTCTGGCGGCCGAGCAAGCGGGCAGGATGGAGGTGCTCCCGCATATCGCAATGTTTATCCCGCGTTCAGCGAACCGCAAGCTTATGCAATTTAGGCTTTGCTGTTGGGCATTGGCGGCTAACAGAGCGCGTAAGGGACGGCGTTATATACCTAGGGAGGAGCGAGTATGCCCTTGCTGCGGCACTGATAGCCATATCGAGGACGAGAAGCACATTTTGATGGACTGTCCGGTGTACAACAAAATCAGATCTGATATTGGTTTCCCACGCTTCGAGCATATGAAGGACGCTATGAAGTGGGAACCTGAACGCCTGGCAAGGATGCTGGAACGCATATGGTCCCACCGCAACTCTATCGTTCCCTTTGGTCGTTAGTATCCTTCATTACTTGTTTCCTTGGAAGTGCGAGGTAGGATGGTGCTTATAGGCGAATTGGCAGCCCTTGAGCCCTCGGCTCGTATTAGGGTGGTTTGCAGGTACGGGGAACGCACCCACGACCATGTAACAACAACAACAACATCGACTCCTTAACTATATCTCCTTTTTTGGGGCCTCTTTGAGAGAGGGTGCTTGGCAAGCATGTCGGACTGTCATGGACAGGAGAGCACGGGCAGCTAGCATCCTGGGTGAGCCTTTCACCTTGGAGGAGGTAGCGCGTGCTGTTGGTAGGTTACCAAACGGAAAGGCTCATGGGCTTGAGGCCGTACCATCGGAATGTTACCGTTATGCACGCCTCCCACGGGTGGATGAGCAGGGCAGGCAGGGAACGGAGGTGAACTGTATCGTTCCAGTGCTGCACGTTTTGTTAGAGCACATCAGGGCAACTGGTGACTTTCCACAGCAGTTTACAAAAATGGTGGTATCCCCAATTTTGAAGACGGGCGACCCGTTGGTGGCAGGAAGCCATCGGGGCATTGCAGTTGGAGGGGCGCTTGCGAAGTGCTAGGCGTCAGTGATCCTTAACCGCCTGGTACGTGCTGGGGAAATACTGGACCTGCGGCACCCATGCCAAGCGGGTTTCAGGCAGGGTTTCGGCACCGCTCATCACCTCTTTGTCAAGCAACACCTGGTCAGGCGGCATCGGATCGCGGGACAACCGCCGTTGATAATAGTACAGATTGACTTTGAGAAGGCCTTTGATAGTGTGCCTCGCGAGCACATGTGGCTTCGGTTGCAGGAGAGGGGGATTAGCGGCCCCATGCTAGATGCTCTGAGAAAAGCGTACGAGAAGGTGTCCATGGTGATGAAGGTAAATGAGAAAGTGGGGGGAGAGTTTGAGTCTAAGAAAGGAGTGAAGCAAGGAGCAACAGGGGAAATATTTAAAAAACCACCAAGGGTGTCCTTTATCTACGGAGTTGTTTGGACTCTTCATTGCGAGGATGTTGGAATGTATGTGGGCTCACCGACAGTCAATTACCCCCTTTGGGCTGATCTGCGGTGTTTTCCTTTCCTCCGTGGCTTTTAGGTGTTGTAGTATTGCCCTTGGGCCTTCGGCTCGTATGGGTAGTCTTACAGGTATGGGGTCACGCACCCCCAACCATGTAACACACACACATAAGCTTGCGATTCTCACCTGTGAATTCCTGTGTACGTGAATTCCTGGTTGCTTGCCATTTGACGGGTACACATCAGGCTGGACATCTAGACGCGTGTGCTTCCAACCACTCACCAATCGGTCCTTGAACCCCAATACCACACCTTCTGGCAATGGCCTGTTCATCAGCCATTCCACTCGTTCGTCTACTTTGTGTAGCCCTTGCGGGGCCTCTTTCCTTACGTCGTGCCCCAGAAAACTTAGAAAGCGGACGAGTAGTGCACCCCATCCGGCCCCTTCGGGGTTGAAGAGGGACTCTACGACCTCCTGTCACAAAACTTGGTGTGCCACAGACCCACGCTGTAAATGGACACGGTTCCAAAACCTCACAATCTGTTTGAAAACGTGTCGTTGTAGGGGGAGTGGAGGAGGGTATGCCGCAACAACCCCACAGCTGGGACCACCCTCTGCTCAGGGTGTGGACAAAGCATTACGGTGTTACACGTCCTGAAATGTATACCGCTTGGCTGGGACCGGCACGTCGCAAATTTCACGGAATAGTAAATTTCAGTTAAGAGGTGCCTTGTGTACAGTGGTTGCGGCATCCACGAGCCTTTCTTTTATGTGCGTGTGTTACATCGTCGTGGGTGCGTTCCCCCTACCTGCAAACCGCCCAATACGAGCCGAGTGCTCAAGGGCTGTAAGCACCACCTTATCGTCGCCTGTAAGCACCATCTTACCTCGCACTTATATGCGTTCATCTACCCAGTGTATGTATCCAGGCATCCATACCCTTGCATGTGGTGCCGACCCCAAATTACCACAGAAAAGCGATGCTGAAGCATCTACTAATGGTTCCGCTAAGCACAGCTGCTCTCTCTATGGCCAACGCAGAACATGGCAAGATTGGCGCTGCCAACGGTAGGGTCAGGTAGGTAAGAAATAATAACAGTGTGTCATCTGCGGGTGTGTGCGTCAGGGGCTTCTCAACTCCATTCTTCTACAGGGGTTTCTCAACTCCATTCTTTCTCAGCTCGCAAACCAACGTTATCCAGGATCACCACCATCCATCGACTAGGGCACTCTTACCTTCCACCACCGGAAGGGAATTTAGAGTTTGACCGGTCTCGATTATACATGTTCCAGCTTTACGTTGGTGGTGTTGAGAAACACCGGGACGTATGATACTTTGTCCGAAAGGCTTCGAACCGAAGGGCTTTTTAACCACCGAAGCCGTACAGAGTGCGGCCCTGGCGCTTGAGCGCATAGACGACGTCCATAGCCGTGACAGTCTTGCGGCGAGCGTGCTCCGTGTACGTGACAGAGTCACGAATCACGTTCTCCAGAAAGTTCTTCAGCACCGTGCGGGTCTCCTCGTAGATGAGTCCGCTGATGCGCTTGACGCCACCACGACGAGCCAAACGACGTATAGCAGGCTTCGTGATGCCCTGGATGTTGTCGCGGAGAACCTTGCGGTGGCGCTTAGCACCGCCCTTGCCCAGGCCCTTGCCACCCTTGCCGCGACCGGACATTCTCTGTAGTTAGTTAAGTTTGAAAGTGTAAGAGAGGCTCAACAGGACATGCCCATAGAATATTTAGGAAATACTGTAGATTTTATACTTTATTGCCGTGCAGCTACCAGGGTCAGCTCAGCGGGGCAACGGCTGCCGTATAACCGCCACTGAGGGCAGTAGAAAAATTGTGGGCAACCAACATTTATCTAAGAATTAATTACGAATCCTTTGTTATCAGACTTGAACAACTTCTCTCCCATAAGACAAAATGGCCCGCACCAAGCAGACAGCTCGTAAGTCGACTGGCGGCAAGGCGCCCCGCAAGCAGCTCGCGACCAAGGCCGCTCGTAAGACGCCGGCAACGGGTGGTGTGAAGAAGCCTCACCGCTACAGGCCCGGAACTGGTAAGAGGTTTGGCAAGTCGGTGAAGGCGTTCGTTCCATTTACTTCCCGTTTTCGAGCCATGCAAGCCTAATATGAACCATGAATACCTTCCCAGCCTATTTTCTTTGGAACATACAACATACTAGGATATAATTTAGCCTCTGAATCTGGAGAAGCTCAAGGCCTCTGAATCTGGAGAAGCTCAGGGCCTCTGAATTTGGGCCTTGGGCTATATTGCTCGTGCTTCACGGTCCCTGGCTTACCGCCTTTCGTGTTCTCTGTACCTTTCCTCGCAGTTGCTTTGCGTGAGATCCGCAAGTACCAGAAGAGCACGGAGCTGCTGATTCGCAAGCTCCCCTTCCAGCGGCTGGTCCGTGAGATCGCTCAGGACTTCAAGACGGATCTTCGTTTCCAGAGCCAGGCGGTGCTGGCGTTGCAGGAGGCCGCTGAGGCGTACCTGGTGGGCCTGTTCGAGGATACCAACCTGTGCGCTATCCATGCCAAGCGCGTCACCATCATGCCCAAGGACATCCAGCTGGCTCGCCGCATCCGTGGCGAGCGCGCATAAGAGGGTTATGCAATCATCTAATGATCAACCCTAAACAAAATCCGGTGTTTTTCAACACCACCTTGGATTTGAGGGATGTAGGGTTTTGGATGGGAACTCTGTGACTCCACCAGCATGCACGGCACACATGCAAGGCTACGTAAATGTCGGTGGATTCATGTCAACCTGCCTGGACACTATCAAAATCATGACTTTCGTAATCAGCATGGGGGAGGATGGGCACTCGCTCGATGCCGTGCCCTGGTGTTAACCGTCATGCATATCGATGGCGTCCACAAGTGTTTCCTATTTTGGAGTTCAAGGACCGATTAATGAGTGGTTGGAAGCATACGCGTTTAGATGTCCAGCCTGACGTGTATCCGTCAGACGGCAAGCAACCAGGAATTCACATGGCGAAGTATAAGCATTGGATGGGGCTGGCGGCCGAGCAAGCGGGCAGGAAGGAGGTGCTCCCGCACATCACAATGTTTATCCCACGTTCGGCGAATCGCAAGCTTATGCAGTTTAGGCTTTGCTGTTGGGCACTGGCGGCTAACAGAACGCGTAAGGGACGGCGTTATATACCTAGGGAGGAGCGAGTATGCCCTTGCTGCGGCACTGGTAGCCACATCGAGGATGAGAAACACATTTTGCTGGACTGCCCGGTTTACGACGGAATCAGATCTGATATGGGCTTTCCACGCTTCGAACATATGAAGGACGCTATGAAGTGGGAACCTGAACGCCTGGCAAGGATGCTGGAACGTATATGGTCTCACCGCAACTCTATCGTTCCCTTTGGTCGTTAGTATACTTCATCACTTGTTTCGCTGGAAGTGCGAGGTAGGATGGTGCTTATAGGCGATTTGGCAGCCCTTGAGCCCTCGGCTCGTACTAGGGTGGTTTGCAGGTACGGGGAACGCACCCACGACCATGTAACAACAACAACAACAAGTGTTTCAATCAAAAGTCCAAACAACTAGGTTGACATCGGACAGCCTTGTTTCACACCATGTTTTGACTTGAATTCGTCCCCTTCACCACCCCCATCCCCACCGTCTTCACTTTCCCTCTCCTCCCTCGCAGAAACACATTATTTGCTTAGTATGCACGTCTCCAACTGTTGTAGACCCCGCTGGCTCTTCCCGACAATCATTTCGGCGCTATGCTCTCAATCCAGTCTTCAATCGCAACAGCTTCTTCACCCCTCCCACATTGAAGTCTTCGGGTCTTGGCCCGGCTCCTGGCCGCCTCCCAGTCCACCGGGCAGCCCTCGGCGTGCAGCCACTGGAGGATCTCTAGGGTACTGCCGCTGTTCTTGTCGTACACCGCTTGGCTGAAGACGTCGGGACCCCAGGGCCAGCCCAGCCGCCTCAGACAGCGCAGAGTGACCAGGTCGTGGTGGTTTGCCGCCGTTACGTAGGGCTCACCATCGTCCTGCAAAATTGCATCGAAGCTGGTTCCTGAAAAACAGCAGTCATAAGTGGTCGCTGGAAAGGCCTCTCGAGGTGCTGGAAATGCGCTTCAGCATGTATATGATGGGGTGTACCGGGCTGTATGACCGCTACTACACTCCGAACAAAGAGATGGTAGATGCAGATCAGCATAACAGTCAATTGGAAACCTAGTGACAGGTCCTTAACCATCCAGTCAAGAGATCGGCAGACGCCAGACGGTGCCGTACATACATTCCGTGATGAGCGGTAGAGCTGAGCAGTGTACCAACAGCATGCACCAAGAACATGAACCCCGATCTCACACAAGCGAGCCACTCACACCCATGGAGAAGCCCCGGGCCGCAAGCCACTCCAACAATGCTGGACTGCCTCGTGCCGCCGCTGCTTTGAACATCTCCCTCCCGCTCCAGGGCAAGTCTCGCTGACGTAGCAGCCATTCCATGACCTCCACGCTGTCAGACGATATTGCGCCGCCCACATGTTCCCAGCCCCAGTCTATGGCGGCCTGGATGGCCTCTCGACTACCAGCCTGAGCCGCCTCCGGCCCCTCCAACCATTCAAGGATGTGCAGCTGACCGCCCGCCGCTGCTGCCATTACAGCTTGGTCATCAAGCTGCCAGCCCAACGTCACCATCTCGACCAGCAGCGTCATGTTGCCGACGCGGGCTGCTTCTTCTGTTGCGTCCCCCGTATGCCCTGGCAGCCAGTCCATCCCTCTCAATGCTCGCAGGTAGCGCACCAAGGGCAGGTTGGCAGCATGTGCAGCATCCCGGAGGATCTCTGGTACGACCTCATTTTGGTCAAAGGCGGGCAGCAGCAGCTCTACCCGATCCACAGCGTCTGAACGGCTGGCAATGGCCCTCCAGTCCATGTACTCGTCACCGCTGAGCCGGCAGCCGTGAGCCTGCAGCCACTCCACTTTGGCCCGCCAGTCGGGGGTGGGGCTCGACAGGGCCTCTGGAAGGGTGTTGACAGTCAGTAGGACGTCGTCACCATCGTCGTACTGCAGAAGGATCTGGTGCACCTGCTGCAATGCCGCCAGGTCGAAGCCGTATGCAGCCCCCTCGATGAGGTCGTCCTTCAACCGCTTTGTAAACAGTGACTCTGGGCCTTCTGCTGGTTCAAACTGCTGTAGGAGCCAGTGTGTGAGGCCCACATGGCCACCGCGGGCGGCGGCAGCAAGACACATCCCGGGATCCCTCTGAACATCGTCCTCCAGGAGCCCTTCACACACAGCCTGATGGCCGGCATAGCAGGCCACTTCAAAGGATCGGGAACCAGCTCTCTCGCGGGAGCGACGGTTACGCTCCTGTTGCAGCAGCCAGCGAACCATTACCAGATGGCCACTGCGCGCGGCTGCTTGTGCCGCTAGCTCCGAGAACGGGTAAGTGAAATAGCGATCTGGCTGCTGCAGCCACTGGTACATCTCAAGATTGCCGGCCTCGGCTGCTGCGTAGAAGACATCCGATGAGAGCATGCAGCCCGCCGCCTTGACGGCGACCTGCAGGTTGGCAAGGCTGCCGCTGCGGGCCGTCAGGACAAGGAGCCTTCGGCGCTTACTCCGTGCAAAGTCGTGGACTGCCTCCGGGCGGCTCCAGTGCCTGGCGAACGCGTGATGGGGTACGGGCTGCGACAACCGGATAACTACCTTTTCACGAAACCGCCTCGCCATGGCCTTATTGATTTCCTTGACGGTACACACCACCTCGTTTGAATCCATGAAGCTAAGAACACGCTCGACAAGTTCCGCCGTTAAATCAGCCCAGCCATGACCATTCTTAGTATTCATGTTTTCAGCCTAACAAATCGGCAGGTAAGCAAAGACGCAAAATTCAACGTCTGACATGATGGTCTTTTGCAACGTAAAACTAACCCATAAACAACCGTTGTTCCAACCAGAAAACATGCTTGAGGCAGAAGATCAGTAAGAGAAACAGACATCGTCATTGAACGTTGCACCATCGTGAAATTGAGCTTCTTACATGGATGAGACTTTATGCTAAAACTTTCGTGAGCTGCAGGTGAGCTGTTGCCCTTTACTGTCTATCTCGTGGCCCTATCATGCAAATCTGCGACAGAATTCATAGACGTTACAAAAGGTGAGGCCCGAGGACCGCACAACCACTGTCCATAAAGCAGCTCTTTCCAACTAATTTCCCCACCTCGGGACGACGAACCTTCCGACCAAGCGCGTCCTTCCTTATTAGTCCGTGAAATTCGCGACGTGCCGGTCCCAGCCATGCGAAATCCACTTCAGGACGTGTAACGCCGTAATGCTTTGTCCACGCCCTGAGCATGGTGGTCCCAACTGTGGGGTTGTTGCGGCATACTCTCCTCACCCCCCCTGCTGATCCATTCCCTTCCACTCCACTCCATTCAGGCGTCTATCATCACACCCTCTCCCTTCATCCCCTCACAGCTCAGACACCCCCACTCCGGACAGTATGACCGCTACTACACTCCGAACAAAGAGATAGATGCAGATCAGCATAACAGTCAATTGGAAACCTAGTGACAGGTCCTTAACCATCCAGTCAAGAGATCGGCAGACGCCAGACGGTGCCGTACATACATTCAGTGATGAGCAGTAGAGCTGAGCAATGTACCAACAGCATGCATCAAGAACATGAACCCCAATCTCACACAAGCGAGCCACTCACACCCATGGAGAAGCCCCGGGCCGCAAGCCACTCCAACAATGCTGGACTGCCTCGTGCCGCCGCTGCTTTAAAAATCTCCCTCCCGCTCCAGGGCAAGTCTCGCTGACGTAGCAGCCATTCCATGACCTCCACGCTGTCAGACGATATTGCGCAGTCCAACAGTTCCCAGCCCCAGCCCATGGCATCCTCGATGGCCTCTCCACCACCAGCCTGAGCCGCCTCCGGCCCCTCCAACCATTCAAGGATGTGCAGCTGACCGCCCATCGCTGCTGCCAATGCAGTTGACCCATCAAGCACCCAGCCCAAGGCCAACATTTCGACCAGGATGGCCATGTTGCCGACACGGGCTGCTCCATCTATTGCATCATCTTCGCATTCTAGTACCCAGTCCCTCTCTGCTCGCAGGTAGCGCACCAGGGGCAGGTTGCCAGCACAGACGGCGGCGTTGAGGATGTCTGGTACGGCCGCCTCTACCTCATCCCCCATGAGCAGCACCACCTGTACCCGATCCACAGCGTCTGAACGGCTGGCAACGGCCTCCCAGTTCAGACCCTCAACACCGCTGAGCCGGCAGCCCTGAGCCTGCAGCCACTCCACTTTGGCCCGCCAGTCGGGGGTGGGGCTCGACAGGGCCTTAATAAGGACGTCGCCAGTCAGTAGGACGTCGTCGCCGTCATCGTACTGCAGGAGGGTCCGGTGCAGCTGCTGCAACGCCGCCAGGTCGAAGCTGTACGCAGCTCCCGCGATTACATCAGCCTTCCACAGCATTTCGAAGCTTGACTCTGTGCCTTCTGCTGGCTCAAACTGCTGTAGGAGCCAGTGTGTGAGGCCCACATGGCCACCGCGGGCGGCGGCAGCAAGACACATCCCGGGGTCCCTCGGAACGCCGTCCTCCAGGAGCCCTTCACACACAGCCTGATGGCCGGCATAGCAGGCCTCCAACCAGGCTCGGGCAACAGCACTCATTCGCTTGTATGGACTACGCTCCTGTTGCAGCAGCCACCGGACAATTGCCAGATGGCCACTGCGCGCAGCTGCTTGTGCCGCTAACTCCGAGAACGAGTCAATGATAGGGGGGTCTCGCTCCCGCCTCCACTGGCATATCTCAGAACTGTCCTCCTCGGCTGCTGAGAAGAAGACCTTCGACGAGAGCATGCAGCCCGCCGCCTCGACGACAACCTGCAGGTTGGCAAGGCTGCCGCTGCGGGTCGTCAGGACAAGGAGCTTTTTGAGCTGATCCTGTTTCAAAGTGTGAACTGCCTCCGGGAGGCTCCAGTGCCTGACGAACGCGTGATTCGGTACGGGTTGCGACAACCGGATAGCCACTTTTTCCCGAAACTGGATCGCCAAGGCCTTATTGATTTGTTTGACAGTACACACTACCTCATTTGGATCCAGGAAGCTAACAACACGCTCGACAATGTCCGCTGTCAGATTAACCCAGCCATAACCTTTCTTATTATTCATGTTTCTAACTAAGTAAAAATAGACAAGGACAAAAATATCAACGTTTGTGGTGGTGTAGCCGCTCGCAGAAAGTAGTCCTTGATTGAGTGCCAATGCTCGTCGCTCCGTATCGGACTGCATGAGAATAAAATGTTCGTACACACCATTTTTCGAGGCCAAAGGGCAGCTTGCGAAATCCAAGAGCGCCATGTTTCTGCTTATGTGCTTAGGACTCACGGGCGTTCGTTGTAGCGTTCGTTAGCTTGCGCTAGGACCTGGCGAATAGCGGAACATTACTAACGATGGAAGACAACGGAGGAGAACGTACGTACAAAACAAATACAAGTACAGAACAAAGGCAAAGGCATGGCTAGATTGGCTGCTATGAGGGCCGGCAAGTGGGTCGCCCGCTCCTGCGGATCGTCAGCGTTTCGCGAGTCCTGCAGAACCCAACATCCAAAACTGAGATGAATATATTCCGTTTACTCAGCTTGTTCGACTTATCACCCACCCGGGCATCCACCTTTGGGCAAGACAAATGTCGCATAATGTCGGAACAGATTCATTCCGGGAGTTCCCACCCCCCTAGTAATTTGCACCAATGTAAGACCAGACAAAGGTTACTCAAGGGAGATGCCAAGGGAGCTGAACCCTTCTTATAGTCAGAATGCTGTGGGGTCTGCAGCTTCCCCTCCTGTGGTGAGCAGTGGTGCTGGGTAACTGACTGTATCACCATCACCAACTGACTGTATCACCAGGATGCTTCAGCTGCCCCACCGTACCCCTTCCACAATAGCCTGCATGCAAGCAGCATCACACCGGCCGACGGCAGCTGGAATCTCTCGGTCGCCTCGGGCGACAAGCACCTGCAGCATGTCATGTTTCTACCGCCGGACTACGTCAAGGCTGTGGTGTCCCTGGACTCCATAGATAAAATGCACCTCATAAATTAAATGCACGTGGTGCTGGTGGATGTGGATGTGGGTTCTTCCAGGCGAAGTTTGGGCTGTTGGCCGGCCGCCTCCGACAGCAGCGCTGCATGCAGGCACTCATGCTCCACTGGGCAGTGGATCCGGTTCCGGCGTGTCAACACCCTGCCCGCTGCCCTGCAGAGGAAGTGCTGAGATAGAGCATGCAGAAAAACCCGCTCGTCATGCAGTAACTGACGGTCGCGGCTCAGCTGCCATCCAGCAGGTGCCCCCCTCCCTTACTCGTCGAGTCGTCACCCGAGAGTGTGTGGTCTGTGCATGTATGTGGCCAGTACCCAAGCCAATCAACCCTTGGTGCTGGTGCGCAACACGGCCCCTGCTGTCCGTCATGGTATCTGAGTTTGCACGCCCCGACCGCATGCACGCACCGCATATACTGCACGACGGTAGATATGTTGGTGCAGCGAGCAACCATTCGTCCCCTCTTCAACCTTGACATCAATCCGGATGGCAACCCCCATCGTTGCCACCTCGTTCAGCTGCATACAAACAGAGCCCGCGGTCAGCTGCTTCACGGAATACCCAAATGTATTTTTTATTGACATTTTGATTTTGACACTTTCATTACAAGCTTCTTGAGAGCTTGTACGGCCCAATCGAACCATGAGGCCCAGGTGTTTTTTTTGCAATGGTGGTCTTTTGCAATGTAATAAAATGTATACAAAACGGTAGGTTTTCTGAGTGAAACGAAAGAAAACCAAGGTTTTCTGTGTATTTGCCGAGAGCGTACTCGGTTGAATGTCGTTGGTGCGTACGGCTGGATCGTACAGGGCTAGAGTAAGTCGCAGGAGTGCGACGGAAAGAGTAAATTCGCGAGTTCATAGCGTCAGTACTGACAGGTTTCCGCTGGGGCTTCTGCCTAATCTACAGCGTTCAGAAGCAGAGTCGCTCGGTAACCAGGCTCACCCCCCACCACCCACGGAAGCAAGCGCAACTTTCATGCCTGCAGGTACCCAGTGTTTTTTTTTTCGTGGAGGCCGATCCTGAATCTGTTACGAGTTCCGTAATAAATATGCCATCAGTCCAATACGTTTATTACTGCCAAAATTTGTTTTCTGGGGGGGCAAGCCCCCCCAGACCCCCCCTGCCCACACAGGGTACCTGATACACCAGCACATATTTAATAAATATTTCATTAGAGTCTCAGCTGTTTCCGTCCGTTGCCACATGCGTTCAGGATTATGTCATACGTTTTCACCACGACACCACAGCCAGTACAATGCCCCAGGGCATAGCAAACTCGTCAGTTGTGCATGTAACGGCCACGCTTCTCAGCCCTCTGCAGCCACTTCTCCACCGCCTTGTCATACGGGAAGGATGAGCGGGTGTAGAAGTCCTGGGCAAAAATACGCAAGCACAGTCCCAGATGCTTATCAAGCTGGTTGCGGTGCTTATTCTTGACGAAAGACATTGCTGAGAACCACCTCTCATCCTCCACTGACCCTGGCACCATCACAAACACAATCTCCGCCAGCTTTGCAAACTCTGAAATGGCCATGGCCTGCCCAGCGGAGCTCATCAGACGTCGCCAGCAGGCCGTGGCGGACGGAAACCTCTCCCTCTGCTTATGACGCCGCTTCTTCCACTTCTTCCCTTTCTTCCCCTTCCCGCGCTTGCGGGATGCCCTGCGCCTGCGAGAAGCGTCTCTGGGGGCCTTCGGCCCGCCCCGGCTCCGTAACGACCGTACCAGGCCTTTACCATGGTCTATGACGGAGCGCAGAACGCAAATATGCCATTTTATTACGGAACCGTAATATATTACGGAAAAAAATACACTGCAGGTACCCCTCCGTCTGTACGACCCCTAAGCGGTAAGGCAACTACCCAAGAAAACCGTTGGCATAACGATCTAACCAGAAACACACGGTAAGGTTGGAACTGAATAAGAGTTAGTTAGTGTAGATTAGTAAGAGAAACCGAGAGTTAGTTAGTGTAGATTAGTAAGAGAAACCGACACCGTCATTGAACGTTGCACCATCGTGAAATTGAGCTTCTTACATGGATGAGACTTTATGTTAAAACGTTTGTAAGCTGCGGGTGAGCTTTTGCCCTTTACTTGTGATAAGGCCAGCCATCACTGGCAATCCGATTGCCCGATCATGTAAATCTATGGGCGACTGGACTCATAGACGTTACATGCAAGTAAAGCTCGTGGATGCCGCAATTACTGTCCCGTAAGGCATCCCCTTGAACCGAAATTCCCATTTCGGGACAACGAGCCTTCCGGCCCAGAGCATCCTACTCCGTTTATGACGTGCGTATACTAAATGTGGCTACGGGTCCCAACTGGGGGGTTGGCCCATATCCCCCTCGGGGGTGCTATGGCTTCTGGATAGTTCTTCCGGATCTCAAAGCCAATCTCCAGCTGGGCGAATGACTTACTGCTGCTTTCACTTTTATGTCTGTATGTCTCTGACATCTACACACGTACATAGCCGCACTGTTGGCGTCCATGATGCTCCTCGTTCGTAAAAACACAACACATTGAAAGCAACGGATGCCCCTTGTGCCCCCCCCTCTTAAAACACACCCGCACACCCGCACACCCTCGCGCGCGAAGACGCTCCGATCCCCAAATTTCTTCCTCTCGCACTCCAACCAGTTCCGGCAGTCCCTGGGCAGCAGTAGCGACTCAACAACGACTCCACACGGAAACAATGGAACAGGAAAATATAAAGATCAAGAAACATGATGAAGTCAGCAACATGCAGAAGCTATAAGAAGACATGGAGAACAAAAGCGCAAAACAGCACAAACAAATTGACAACAGCAACAAATATAAACAACAACACCAACAACAACAACCTCCTCTCTATCTACCACGCCTTCACCCTCCCCCTGGCGATGCCGCCCCCCACATCACGGCATGCATCACAAGCTCCCGCACTACGCGGTACGCGGGTGCAGAGCGGCTGGCGGGCTTGCAGCAGTCGATGTGGTCGTTGTCGGGTAGCGTCATGGCGGCTCCGAAACCTGGGTAGGCCGAGTCGGGTGTCACGATGAGGATACGAGGGATTACCCCCGACAGCTGCGTGGGCTGCCCCTCCATTAGCGACACCACTCGCAGAGCACCACCCTGAGCCTCGTGCAGCTGCCGCAACCGGTCATTGAGGCTGAGCAGATGGGGACCTAGAAAAGGTGACGACGCGCGGGGTGGGTTTTGTTGAGTTTCGTTCGGTTGTTGGGGATGTGTAGAGCGGGGGTTTGACCCTTAAGACGAAACCCAGGGGACGCACAGATCATGGACCGCGTGGGGCTGGGCTTTTGTCAGAACGTGTGTTTTGGGCGGGGTGAAAGAAATGCCCCTCTGAGACAGGCCTTAACAACTCCGCCACCAACCACCAACTACCAACCGCCAACCAAAATTTCGCGCAACCAAACAATAGTCCCTCCAACAAGGATTCCCCACCTGCCACGCTTCCAGATCTCCACATCAACCACCGACAACCACCGGCTGAAAACTACCAACCACCCCAACCAAAGCAACCCACCTGGCGTAAGACGCGCCAGGGACGGTGCGGGCAGAGCTCCCGGCACGTGGCGCAGCTTCCAGCCCATGGCCGCTATCGCATTTCCAAAGTGCGGTGTACCGAAAAACACGATGCCCCGCGTGGAGGGGGCCAGTGCGGCGTGAGGGCCACCTAAAGACAAGAGGGAGAGCGGGAGGCAGTGGGGTCAAGTCAGTGGGCCCGAGAACAGAACGGAACCTGCCAAGTAAATGGCAGGGAAGGGAACTAACTGCGAGCAGTTTGATGTATATCAGAGAGGCGTGCGTATGCTAAAACCTGTGATATACATCATATATATACATATATCTGATGTATATCACACGTTATAGCATACGCACGTCTCTTATAATATATAAACCCTAATATATATAATATTATAATATAATATAATATTATTATATTATTATAATATTATATATAATATTATAATATATATAATAATATAATATTATATTATTATATTATATAATATTATATTATATTATATTATATTATATATAATATATATACCCCTTTTCGAGAGCCCCCTCCCCTCCCCGGCGGCCATCAGTTTCTCTGGCGCATACGTTTTTCCTTGGAATCAGCTTCACTCGCTCGTGATTCATCTTCCCCCTCCTCGGCCACACCTGACGCCGCCTGGTCCAGGCTCCTCGCCAGCATCTCCTTCACCAGCAGACCCCCCATGGAGTGCGCCACGAACACGACGGGCCGCTGACCAGTACCCACTCCCGCAGCGGCCAGCTGGCTCATCACCCGGCTTACATTATCCTCCAGAGGAAGTGACTCGCCCTGGGCGGGAGGCCGGAAAGGGGGGTAGGAAGGAATGATGGAAGGGGGATAGGGGCGGGGGCCAGGAAACACACACACATACACACGCACACACGCTCACGCACCCCTCCCACCACATTCGCCGTACGAGCCCGTCCTTCTACGACGTGCCGTACCTCCCATGCCGACACTGGCGCCAGGTACTCCACACTTAGCAGTCTGGCTCCAGGCAGGTCCTCCGACAACCAGGTGGATGGCCAGCAGGAAGACCGCTCCATGTGGGAGGCGGCCGACCCACGGGTCATCACACCTGCCTTTCGCCAAGTGATAAAAGGACCGCCGCGGATGCCGTGTACGAACACGACATCGACCAGCGGAGGTGAAGACGCCGCTGCCGCTGCTGCCGCTGCTGCCGCTTCGCCGCCGCTAACGTCAGTGTACGGCGATGCGGACAACTGACCGCCAGGTGCATCGGGGCCTGGTTCCACGTAGATAGTCGGATAGGATGGATTGGCTGCGGGGTAGGTGAGACTGCCACTGCTGCTGCTCGGGGTTGAACAGCTGATGCTGTTACTGTTACTGTTGCTGCTGCCGGCGTTGGAGGCGGCACCAGCACTTGAGGCTTGCGAAAGCGGGGACGGCGATGAAACGGGCTCCTTTCCGCCGTCGGCAGTGCTGATCGAGTCAGGACTGGAGTATAGCGGAGGCGGCGACGGCTCGGCCGCCCCTGCTGCTGCTCGGGGTACGGCCTGCAGCGGCTCCGGCGCCGTGGCGGCAGCGACTGTTGGAAACGGCAGCGGCAGCGGAGCCGCAGCGGCGGCAACTGCACCATGACGTGTCGCCAAGTTGGGGTCCACAAGTGCTGCCGTACTCCAAAGCGACAACGACAGCGATGCCGCCGCGTAACGCAGCGCATCCAGAAGAGCTGCCGCCACCGACGGCACCGACGATTCGCCGCATGGTAATGTCAGCGCGCTACTGCCGTCGCCGCCGCCATCGGTTCTGGTGGCGGTGCCACAGCCAGCCGTTGCTACAGCGCCGTTACGGACATCTATGCAGCCCGCTGGCTGCATCAGCGGCGGCGCCACTGCCTCAATCGCTGCGCCTGTCTTTGCCGCTACGCTTACCGCCGCCGCCGCCGCCGCCACTTCAGACGGTCCCGGCCTCACCGGCAAATCGTGAAGCTCCTCCTTGCGAGTATCGTCGTCCACGTCCGCTGCGGGGCCCACGCCATTGTGCATTGGTTTCGCTTCCGCCGCCGCCGTTGCGCTCGCCGCCGTCGCCGCTGCGGTGGCGGCAGCGGCCTGCCGTACAAGCGCCCAATGGTGCTGAGCCCCGGGGTCCAGCAGGTGAATGCCATCCAGAAACACGGGCGCCGCCGCCGCCACCATTGCCACCGTCCTTACGGCCGCTAAGGACTCCCCGTCGCCGGCAGCGGCGGCGGCACCCGCCGCCGCGTTGACGTCCAGCGCCGCCAGGTGCAACAGCGCCCGAGTGGCGTTGCTTGACAGGCGGCAGTCACTGCTGGAGGCGGCGTGGCGCAGCCACGGCAACCAACCGTCGCCGCCATCGTTTCCGCCGCCGCTGCTGGTCCCGTTACCTGCCGTCGCCGCGGCGGAGGCGGAAACGCCGCCGCCGCCAGCGATACCGCCCACGGCATCCCGGAGCAGCGCCATCAGGGCCAACATTCTCGCCACTTGGCGTTGGAGGCACAACGAAGGGCCGCCTTCGTGATCGGACATGAGCTCCGAAACCACCGCCTGTGTCTGTATCTGTGTCTGTTTCTGCGCCTCCTCTGACTGCTGCTGCTGATTTTGCTGCTGGCTATAATAAAATATTCGGCTTTGTTGCTGCTTTTGGTAATGCAAATGCTTGTTGAGCTGCTGCTGCTGCTGCTGCTGCTGCTGCTGCTGCTGCTGCTGCTGTGTAGAATGCTGTTGATCTTGTTGCTGCTGCTGTTGAAGCGAAGGAGGAGGAGGAAGGGGTTCCACGCGATGCTGATGATGGTGCTGCGGTGCTGCGGGCTGGTGGTGGTGGTGGTGGTGGTGGTGGTGATAGTGGTGGTGGTGATGCTGTTGCGGATGCACCTGGACTGAGCCTTGTATACGTAAATCCCGCTCCGCTGCTACCTCACCTGTCGTTGAAGGGGCGGCAGCAGCCGCCGCCGCCGCCGCAGCAGCAGCAGCGGCCGCATTGGCGTTAGCAGCTGCGACCGCCTCCATTCCCTCCCTTGCCGCCTCCTGCTCCATGCGCTCCGCGCCGGGCTGGCCCTGCTCCTGCAGACCGACCCGTGGGTCATCCGCAGTGCGAGTGAGGCGGTGCAGGAGCGGCAGCACTCCGCGGTGCAGCAGCCAGCGCTGCTTCTCAGGATCCGGGGCCACGATGGCGCATAAGGCCTGCGGGCACGGTACGAACACAAACTCTCCGTGAGGAACGCAGCGGAAACATGCCGGCCATGTGGACTAGGAGAGGGCCTTATGCGCTGCCAGGATATCTGGATAGACGTCGAACCGGTAGTGCAGATAGTTTGTGTGATAGACATGTGTTAGGTTGTGTGTTAGGGGTTGAAACATGCACGTGGGGGGTTGAGGTGGAGAACATGATGCCATGATTGGTGGCGTTCAAATGTGGGGTTGGGATTCCATCAGAGAGTTTCCCAACATCCCGGAAGTAACATGGAACACCAAAAGCGCACGGTGAAAACCCCAGTTCGAACCCGGCTCCCCCCCCATCTTGCAAATATAAAAAATCAAACGCAGCGGACATAACTCGATAGCGTCCGAGCCCCCACCAACACCACATGCAGCACACATCAATCACCACAATCATCACCACAATCACCACCACTACCCCTATATTCCCCACGCCATGCCCACACCACACCACACCGCATTCCATCCCACCTCCAGCGCATCCGCCGCCTTCCGCTCCGCCACCACCACATCCACAACGTGAGCCGCTTGGCGGTACGCGGCTACATCCGCAGCATGACGCCGTTGTTGTTGCTGCTGCTGCTGCTGCTGCTGATCCAAGCTACCGCCGCTACTGCCGCGGCCAGTGGCACCAGCGCTGGATACCGTCCCTGTAGCAGCCCCAGCCCCAGCCCCTATCCTGTTGCCACTACCGCTGGCGGTCGTGCTACTGCCACTGCTACTGCTACTGCTATTACTGCTGCCGGCCGTCGGGGATCTACGTGTTTGTGTGTCGTGTGTGGGTCGAGCCACCAAGCCGCTTCCCGCCAGGTCAAACTCCAGATGGGAAGGTAGTGGGGGGGAGTCATCCGCCACGGCGTCTGCGGCTCGCTCCAGAGCATCGGCCACAGACTGAGAGAGGTGAGGTGCGGGGGGGGGGGGGCCGCCCGGGGAATATGATAAGATGAGGGAAGGGAAAGGGAAAGGGAGGGGAGTCATGTGTTTGGCAACAAGACAAGGATGGACGTCTGAAGAAAGAGAGGGGTGGAAAGGGGTACGTGGCGGAAAAAGCGATGCGCAAGATCCAAAGGCGAAACCCGGCGGGACGAGCGTTGAAAGGAGAGGCACTCCGAAACCAAACACGCGTATACACACTAGGGGTGGGAACTTACGCTTTTCGGTTTTACAAATTACGCTTTTCCGTTACGGTAATTACGGTAGGGCCCAAAAACGACCGTAAGTTTTCGGTGTGACGGCGTAACGTCAATTACGGTGTCCATTTTGCCTGTCCTCACCGGAAGTCAGATGTCCACACGCCACCGCGCCTCCAAAGCAACATATAACATCTAACATCCATTCTAGAGCAATTAATGGAAGACGAAAATGTCCGATTTTTCGAAAACGCACCTCAACATAGCCACAACTAAGTAGATCTATACCAGCACCAAGGTAACTATGTAAACAATGATATGCTGTTTGGGTGTCTCATCGGCCATTGTTACACATGAACCACGCGAACAGACGTAGCAGCTAAAAAAAATGTTATTTAATGTTACTATAATTACTAAAATGTTTTGGGTTCACGAAAATGGCCACTGGTACGGGACTGTAAAGCATTACGGTTGGTCTCACGACGCCCCAAACCGTAATATACGGTATTTGACGCTTTGCGCTTTACGCTTTGCGTAACTTACGGTCCAAAAAGTCTATTACGCTGTAATTCTCCACCCCTAATACACACGTATACACACGCGTATACACACGCGCATACACACGCGCATACACACGTCATGCACGCCAACAAGCGCATGACTCCCCGGCTACACGTTTCAAAGTCGGCGATGCTTCCCTTCCCTTCC